GGAAGGAGCAGTTCCTCCTGCGATGCAGTAACCGGTGCCTAAAGGCAAAAGTGTCAAAAAGCTGTAAATGCAAAGTATAGCAAACCAAAGACGCTTTGTTCACGCAAACGGTTGAACGGGATGATCACAATAAACAACACTTAGCATGAATTATGCTTGATGATGCCTAATTTTTGTAAAATCTGGCTCAGGAAAAGTCTACAAGAAGACTAATCTGGTAGCGGAGAAATAAACCATCAAGCGTGCTTGAAGTGACTAGTTGATTTGCAGTTGAACAGGAATGGTCACGCGGTTCAAGTACATAGAACTAGCCCGTCACCGTCTGACCACGTGAAATCAAAGTAGTCTAAGAAAGTACTGTACCAATTGTCGTCGTTGAAACTTGCTTCCGCGCAACTTCAGCAGCTTTGCGAGCTTTGTACTCCACTAAATAATCCTTCAATTTTGGTTCGTGCGAAGATTCAGCGCCTAAAAAACAGCTTGAATACTAAGCACAGCAGAAAATCACATAAATATCAAAGTATGTTCATACGTCGGAGTACGTCAAATAAAGCATAAATCTCCAACAACTAGATTTCAAGGCGAATTGCGCCCCTCCCCACCTTGCTCTTAGCTGCCTAGTGGGAGTCATTTAAGCAGGCCACGGCTCTATGGTATATGGGCATTATTTCGTCTGCTAAAGTCACCTCGATGTCATCACGAACGATGTTTCAGGAGTTGATACTCCTCATGATACCACATAAACATAAAATTATGTCGGCGCGAGGTGATTATAGCGAACACAATGAAGCGAGATGCGTCTGCTCAAACATTATGAAGCCGTGGCCTGCTTCTACGGCCATCAGGCAACTAGGAGCAAGGGGCGATGTAATACTCCGTGAAATATGACTTTGGAGGCATCACGAGTTACATGACCAAAGATAGTGCATGATGACAACGACCTTTGCTTCTACAAATCACAACATGGTGTAATGACACTCATATACCTTGAGCAGATGTAGAGCGGGCAGCTACCTCGCGAAATGAATCTTCACACAATTTACTGATGCTCGCCTTTAACTCGAACAAGCGTTGCTGAAGCATTTCGTAGAAGGTAACTCCATCTTTACACTTCTGCTTCATGTCCTTGAATGCCTCGAAGGAATCAATCAGGGAATTCGCAAACGCCCTCCGCCTATAAACACCAACGGCGGATTAAAAGAAACTTGAACGCAACGATGAAAATAGCATTGCCTTTCTTGTTGTTCAATGATGGCAAGCCGCAGAGGACCAAGCTTTGCATTGGTTTCGGTCAACGCCTTGCAAACGTTACTCTGTGCTTCCAGATTCAACTCGATTAGCATCTTCGTTTTGTCGTGCTTCTTAATCTCTCTTGAAAAGAGTTCCTGAAAGCCCGTCTTTCAAATTCAAAACTTATCATAGTAACATTAATCCAAAAACTTCAAAGTCTTTCTCTTCAGATGAGAGAAGAATTTTATTAATGTCATCTGCAACTGTGTCGGTACGCAATTTTTCTACCAAGCTTTTACGCTGTTTTTTCATTTCTTCAAGCTTTTCGTTAAGCTTTCGCATCGTTTCGCCTGCCATGACAATTTCTAAAAAACGAAAAATATGCCAACGGCTTCACTGTGGTGCTCAGCAAACTATTGGTAGAAAGATTTTGAAACCAAACGGAAAGAAACATTGGGTTTGTAATCGATGCATAACGCGTTAATGAGATCAAACCAAATTTTATAGAAAAACCGCAAGCCAACAAAAATGCACTTTAAATGGTCAGTTTGTAAACGTAACAGTAAATCATTACAATTAATTTTTCCTACAGTTTCCATCTCCATATGTACTGAAGAATTTAATGAGACATGAGTTTACTTTTAATAACGGTAATAACTAATTAAAAATACTTGATTTTGCAGGCCATCAGAACAGATTGGTGTTCGACTAAATAAGTTATGCCGTTATGCATGTATCCAGTACAGGTACTATAATACCACGGAACTGTAGCCGCTTAAAGGGGTTCCTTAGGCATTATGAAACAAGAAGGCAGACTGATTAAAAGTGTAAATCACGGAAAGGATATGTACAGATTATTTTCACCCGCAGCAAAGAAATTCAGCTTTTGTTGGTAAACCAAAATTTTGTTTGTTAACGATATGTTCGGTTGCAGTTCCCTTTGACCAGCTTGACAGCTGCATATTCAATGAGATAATCAGCAAAACGTTTATCTACTGTTGTGTTATTATATCTGTAATATTTCGCTTCTAACTATTCTTCATGTTTCATGAATATAAGGTTACATAAATCAGTTACATGAACATAGTCAAGAACTTTTACTTGTTAACATTTAAACCGTTCCTCAAACTTTTCTCGATCCTGTGTCCAATAAATAATTCACCCATTCTGTCTGGTCCATAAGCTGGCACACAGATATACCTGAATTTAAATAAACCATGTGGCGACAATCAATTGCTCTGCTAATAGCTGCACAACTACTTATCATTGTTTATTATACTTTTGTATGTAATTGATAAGTATATCATATTATACCTTACTCAACTGAATTCGTGTTCCCGGTACGTGTTGTGACATAAGAAGTCTGGGAACCACTTTATTAGCTGCATGGTTCACTTACCGTCGGCCGAGACAGTAGTTGGCATCTTGCTTCGTATTTCGTTAGTGGGAAGCGAGAGCAGCTCCAGGTTTTCTGAACATGATGTCCAAGCTCTTGCAATGCCGGCATCAGATTCT